CTGTTCTTTTTTTTCTTATAAAAGGCTAAATTAAACAAAAATATTGGTGGTAATTTTTGACTCTGTAACTTTACAAATGGCACCCCATACCTATCCCAGTGCAGCACACAGCATATTTCACTGTTTCCACACTGGTCGTGTGTTCTGTATCTAACATGTCTGACCARTGGGTTTCCTCATGAACAGGCCCTCACCCTGAGCTGACTGTAGCTGCTGCTGTGCTGGTGCTCCTGGTCATTGTCATCATCTCACTCATTGTCTTGGTTGTCATCTGGAAACAGGTACTCTTGTGATCATTTGGCATTTAGCCCCACTTTCTTTCAGTTACTCATTTCCTCATTTTCAGCATTTATGTAAGGTTTAAATAGAAATAACATGCTTTGCTGTTAAACAGGAAATACAAACATGGTGAATGTTTGAGAAAATGGTCTTTTCTTTAGAGGTTTTCCTACGGTCAACCATGAATTTCTGTGTTCTCTGTCACCTAGAAACCAAGATATGAGATCCGGTGGAGGGTCATAGAGTCTGTAAGCCCAGATGGCCATGAGTACATCTATGTGGATCCCATGCAACTTCCGTATGACTCCAGATGGGAGTTTCCCCGGGACAGACTTGTGCTTGGTGAGCTGAGCACCTTTTTAAAGTCCCTGAGCTGTAAGAGTGTCCTGCAGAGATGTTCTCACCTGTAAATCTCACTGTGTGTTTGAAGTTAGTCTATGATCCCGGACGAGCCCCCAATTTGTTACGGCCCGGCTCTGGGGCCATAACAAATAAAGGGAAGCAACACATGGGGAAACTTCAAATAAATTTTTTTAAACAAAAATCATGGTTGGCTGGAGAAAAAAGAGCAACAAAAGGAGAAGCCTCACCCTGAGAGCCAGCAGCAGCTCCTCAACTGGATCTCAAGCTCTTCTTGATACTGGCCAGCTGCCTCCAGTTGCAATCAGCACCAATCAGGAACTCTGAAACACACAGTTGTTAGAGAAAGACCCAGAGGAAAGGCCTTGGGCCGTAACYTAAGATAACTTTGACCTGGAGACTAGACGCTTTGGTTCTGGGATTTTGTTTGAACCAGCAGAAAGGGTCATAGATGGAAGTCCACATGTCTGTGGGCTGCTGACCCTGTTCCTGTTTTTGTGATTCTCAGGTCGTATCCTGGGCTCTGGAGCTTTTGGGAAAGTGGTGGAGGGCACCACTTATGGACTCAGCCGCTCTCAGCCTGTTATGCAGGTGGCAGTGAAAATGTTGAAACGTGAGTATAAAACACAAGCAGTTGAAAAATTGCAAGTAACGTATTTGATTATTGATATTGGTTTGATAACAGAAGCTACTTTCTTTGCTGCAAATTAAGCTCAGGATGAGGTTTTCAAACAGTAAATTAAAGTCAGCAATATCACCATTTAAACATTAATTCAAGGATAACAGAAGCTTCTAATACTTGAGTTGACAATCTACTAATAAACATGATAAATGTAATAAAAGAACAAAATAAGAATAATATAATTTAAAAAAACATGTACGATAATGTGCTTTGATCTAAACCAGCAAAACTAAATAACTAATTGAAGATTGAGACTTACTACAATTTTTATTGTTCACAGAGCTCATTCTCAACCTGTTATTTTATACATCTTGTATTTTAATGTCAAAGAAATAAAGAATGAAATTTACAAAATTGCAAGAGCAGAAACCACACACCTGACAGTTGTGTCTTTTAAAGATTTTTGTTCACTTATTGTGAGCATCACAAAAAAGTCTGAGCATTGATGAGTGTGATAGAAGCTGAGAAATATGTTCAGTTTGTACTCTAAGTATTAACAGATCACATAGGAGCTTTGTTTGAAACTTTGGCATGCCCAGCTGTGATCAATATGCATTCTTCAAAACAACACAACCATTCATGAATACGACATTTTAAAGAGGAGAGAACAAGCTCAACTAAAAGAACCGATATCAGACAGTTCCTTAACTCCTACATCCCGGTATTTCTTAAATAGACTATATATGACAACAGCATAATAAAATTAATGAATTTGTGTTATGGGTGTTGGACATTACACACCAAAATTACCAGTGGTGCCCAACCAACAACCCCTTTGAAAACTGCATGAAGGTACACCACATGATTGTGTGTCACGAGAACCCTAATATATCTGGTGCCTATTTACAAAGTTGATTTTTTTTTCATTAAGATGCTTTAAACACTGTATGTACATAAAACCAGGGGTGAAAGAAAGCCGGTACTGTCCGGTACTGCGTACCACTAAAAGATTCTGCACCGGTACGCAGTACCGGGAAGTGGGGGGAGCGGCTGTCAACTATAAAGCGACTATACAGAACCAGATCACAGCTGCACTTTCTGTCAGAATAGACCTGTTAGCAATAGGCAGTATAAAACACAATTAATCAGTTTATAAATTTTTTTTCTCATCCCAAATTGTTTCTGAACTGTCCCTTTCAGCTCCTCTTCCCTCAGAGCTCGAGGCTTTCATGAACCACCGATTCATAATGACAAAATTAATTAGCCTCACAAAATAGTTCCTCCTGATAAGCTCAGTTTGTAATTTGTTGTTTTGATGTGTTTTTCCAACTACGTTTACTTTTCGTGAGTCAAAAGCGTGTGTGCGTCACACTGTGCGCGTTTGCGCTGTTTGTCACCACAATGCGTAATGCGCTCATTAGTGTGAGGTGCACTGATGAATTTTTCTCAGATAAAATCCTGCAGGTGCCGCATCATGAGACTGTAAAACCATCATGACAGCACGTTCTATTGAATGTTTAGTGATTATTTAAAAAAGAACGTGACGGGTAAAAATTTATCATGACAGATTTTTTTAACCCTGTCAGTCAAAGTGACGGACAGCAAAAAAGTCGAGCACAACCTCTGTCCGCCTCACCAATATTAATGCTCACGAGCTGCTATTGTAAACGACCGGCCGTCAAAACTTGCACCACTTTCTTCAGGGGTGGATTAGCCTACCGAGGATTTCCCGGCTTGCATGTTCTGTACCGCACAGCAGTCAGCTGATCTGCTCGCACGTTCGCGGGTGGACAGGGTGACGGGAAAAAAATCATCTCTGTGGTGCTTTGATCACATATCAGACACAAATCTTGTCTCTCCTACAACCACACAATCGAAATCTCTGTCTCTGGCAAAACATGCTCGCTGCTGCAGCTCAAGCTGTCATTTCTCAGTAGAACAAAACCTGTCAATCAACAGGAGCGGTGCGAGGGGGGTGGCCAGGAGGGGCAATGCCCCCACCCTTAGAAAAATAGTGGCCCTACCAGTTTTATCCTCTTGGGTTCCAAGCTTTTGTTCTATACTCATATTAATTTTGGAGGTTGTTTAAAAATAAAAATGTAAATTAAATATGAATATAATTTTTATATAAGATAAAAAATTTAAACTTAAAAATCTAATCCCACTGAAAAAAGGAAAATTGTCCTCAATATCAGGATGCAGGTTTTCAAGACATCTATCTATCTTTCTATCTGTTAGTGGTGCAACGATACAGAAAATTCACGATTCAGTTTGGTTCGATACGTTAGTCTCACGGTTCGATATTTCTTCGATGCAAGAAAGAAAAATGTCCATGCCCTTTTTAACTTGCGATTTATTTGAATTAATTATGAACAGTTGTTTAACCTCAAAATACAGTTTTTTAAATTAAATGTTGCTGAAACAGCAAGTTTCTCAGTGGATCTGTGCTCAAAAATGCAGCCTAGGTGGAGTAGTCGAACACAGATCCACTGATCCTTCAACACAGAGCATCTTCAGAAGACAAGTTGATAAAGTAAATTTTACATATCTGTATTGTTCCATACAAGTGTGTATTGAACCTAAAGCATTGAACAGTTCGATACGGGTACATGTATTGTTGCACCCCTACTACCTACCGACCGACCGACCGACCGACCGATCCATCTATCTATCTATATATATATTTACTGTATATACACACACACACACAGGGACAGTTAATGTCACTTTGTCATAGTACCGGCAAGAACTTAGAACTACTTTCACCCCTGCATAAAACACTACAAATCATTCAAGTTACTGAGAAATGATCGACAGATGTAGGTGCAAAAATAGTGTCTAGATCTTTTTGTCAGCTCAGGAAACTTGCTAGGGTCACATTCATAAAGCAGAAACAAGAAACAACTAAAGAATACCCATAAAAACATAAGCAAACCACAATAAATTAACTAAAGCATTGAAATAGAAACGGTGCATGGTTTTATGATTTGCTTTGAGTGTGCTGATAATCCTGGCTGCTGTGACCTCTTCCAGCCACGGCTCGGTCCAGTGAGAAACAAGCCCTGATGTCTGAACTCAAGATCATGACTCATCTCGGACCCCATCTCAACATCGTTAACCTCCTGGGAGCGTGCACCAAGTCAGGTGAAAGATACAAACAAAAAGCAGATTTAAACAAACATGCTCATTAACAGTGCATACTGTTTAGGCTCAGTGTTGTACAACTGTGGTTGCATCTACATTACTGTCAGACAGGTTATTCTCAGTAGTGGGCAGCACTCACCCAAAAATTAGCTCCGCAATTTCTAAAGCGCTTATGAAAATATTTAGGTCCGCAACTTCAAAAACACTTATGCCATAGAAAAACTAGCAGAAGCTAATTTTAAAGCGCAAGTCCAGTTTGACACTTACTAGCTGGCAACAATTCATGTAAAGTATATGCACAATACTGCCAACTAGCGGTGTATGAACACTTATACAGCTTAATACTTTAATCGTCGATTGCTGGGGATCTGATTTCCTGAAACAGACCTTTGGCTCCTGGTGTAAAAATTAAAACGTTGTTGAGGATTGCTAGTTCGGCTGCTTCTTTGTCTTTTTCTTTTGTTTGTTGTAGATTTTTCATTAAAGAAGCATCAATAAAGTAATTTTAAAACTGTTTATTGGAAAACTGAAACGATGCATTCTGGGACAGATTTGATTTGTGACGGGAAATGAAAGTTTTCTTTTTTTTGACGGGAAATGAAAGTTTTCTTTTTTTTGACGGGAAATGAAAGTTTTCCATGTAATTGCTCAAATTGACACCTAGATGTCTGTCTAACCGCGTTGGCGGATTGCTTCGACCAATTACGTCAAGTATTGAGCTCCAGCGTTTTAACTTTTTTTTTTTTTAAAAAAGGAGCTCCAATTGTAAAATAAAATAAAATAAAAGACATAAAATTTTAGTATGGATAACAAACGTTTACTGTTTTTGCTGTTGCCTTCCTGCTATGTAAGCAGACACAAAGCATTGTGGGAAATCAGAACCATGACACAAAGCAACAGTCAGCAGGATGTATACCTTCACAATAAGTGTGTTCATCTGGGAGTGGTGCTGTTGGATAGATCATGTGTGTTGTGATTCATTGACAGTCATACCTTCTGCTGTTCAACATAATGATGACTGGTAGATAATTAGTTATTAGCAGTACTGCATTTTAATTTTAGAAAGAGCAAATCTGCTTATGAATTATAAGAATTAGTAAGACCYCTAAAGTMCAAACAAAGTATTTAGGTCAGCGATTAGCGGATTTGCGCTTTAGCGGYCTGGTGCCCACCACTGGTTATTCTCATTCAGATTTAGCTACAATTCCGATTCTTCCAGCCTCTGTGCTTCCTCGCCTCCCAGCGGGTGTGCTAGTTAAACGGTCTTTTTATGGGAAAGTAAAGGCTTGCCCTTCTGACTGATTTGAGCTTTTACAAGCCTCTGATAAGATTAGCCTGCAGACTGACGCCAATGCCCAACTTTATCTGCTGTTGTTCCCAGGCCCTATCTACATTATCACCGAGTACTGCTTCTACGGAGACCTGGTCAACTATCTGCACAAGAACAGGGAGAACTTCCACAGCCTGAGCCCAGAGAAAAGCAAAAAGGATCTGGATATCTTTGGTATCAACCCTGCAGATGAGAGCAGCAGGAGGTACTAAATTGTTTTTAAAATTTTCTATTTGTTTGACATCGATGGCTAGAAAAAGTCTCCCAAATCACAGACTGTCTGTCAAACACAGACTCAAATCCTCCAGGGTTCCTGCAGYTCCTTAAAAAGTATTAAAAGACATTGAAGTCATCAATCCAAAAAGAAGGCCTTAATTAGCCTTAAATGTCTTAAATCAATCTTTCAGAAGTCTTAAAAATGTTAACACATTGTAAATAGGATGACTGCAATTCATTTCAAATATTAAAATAATTGGTAACAGTTATTTTTTAAATATTCACATGCATTTTTGTCCTTTGACATCACTTCCTGTTATTTCACATGCAAATATCTCAACAACTGTCCTTCTGAGCAACGTGAAATTTGTTTTCTAATATGTTAATAATGTTGTCTTTCCAAAAATGCATTTATATTTCTTGCAAAAATTTGATGTCACATGCACTTTAAGGTTTTATCTATAGCGAATTGAGCTTAAGACCCCACTGTGGGACCTAAAACTCCAAATTTTAGGCCGTTATAGGATTTCCAGGAATTAAATTGTTTAAAACTGACTGCTAAGAAGGTTTTTGCTATGTTTGATGAAAAAGTAGTGAGATATGGATAAAAACAATTGGTCTATTAGCAATATTTGAATAAATCAACTAAAAATACTTTGATTCGTGAGTTTCTGTTACAGTTTTTATTGTGAAATTGATCTTAAATTTAATTTCCTTTGGCATTAAAAAGTCTTGAATTTAACTTGTCTTAAACTGTAGGAACCCTGTTCTCCCTCTGCTCCTAATCTGTAACCTAATCATCAATCTTTCCATGGCATAGGATATTGTCTCGCATCCTTCTCTAATCAGATCAAAGTCTAAAGTGGTCTCAGCTTTCAGCCTAATTCCATCCCCACAGAGGTACCTGTTAATTTAACCCTCCCAAACATTCATTGTGAAACGGCAGCCGGTCGTCTCCCTCTTTGAGGCTCATCTGTGTTGATAGATGACTCACAGTGACCACACCTCAAAATGACCATAACCTGATTTTATCCTGGCCACCACYTTAGCCTCAACCACTTGTCCCACTAACCTCTGCTGGAAGGAAGTGAGAGGACAAGGATTGARGTAAAGCATGCTGAGTCTGGGGCTGAATCAGATCTGCTCAACGACCTGTCATCACTAATGACATTCTTGTCTCGCCTCTGTTCTCAGCTACGTGATCCTGTCCTTTGAGAGGAAAGGAGACTACATGGATATGAAGCAGGCGGACAACACTCAGTATGTCCCCATGCTGGAGATGTGCAGCTCCTCCAAGTATTCTGACATCAGGAGGTCGAACTACGACCACCCTCCCTCACAGAAAGACTCCAACGGTACACGCTGCAGCTCCCTGTTCCCTTCATTAAATTTATTGGCCTTGGTGTTGTGTTTGAGTCATTGTTGGTCCAGGGGTACACCCTTGTCAGAATTTAGGCCTGGAAATGGCTCATAATTACACGGTGAAGATAATTGCAGCACATACATAATAATACCCAGTTTATGTGTGCCATTAAAAGCCAGGTCTGAGAGGAGAGCGCTATTTTTACAGCACATGTTGAACCCATGGAAAGCTTCATGATGTGTTTTCCAAAGCAGAGTCCGAGATCGACACCCTGCTGTCAGACGACATGAACGAAGGCCTCACAACCGTCGACCTGCTGAGCTTTACCTATCAGGTGGCCAGAGGAATGGAGTTTCTTGCCTCCAAAAATGTAAGTTTGAATTAAAACCTTGATTCTCTCCCCTCCCAAGTGCTAATGGTAGGTTGTGCTGGGCACAGCCAGGGATGGGTACTGAGGAAATCAGTGGTTGTATGATAAGCAGCTCTGTGAATGTTGCTGTACCCACTCTGGAGAAAGACCAGACTGAAAATAAAAGTCAGAGCTAGAATTTACCAGACAGGAACTCACTGCAGCCAGAAACTATTCATCCAACCATATAGTTATCATCCTTAAATATCCAGTGGTCACCGTCATCCCTCCAACTGGCGTGTTTAAACAAAGATTCTGCTTCATAAAGCAAAATTACATTTAAAGAAATGAACTTGGATAAAGTGAAACAGAAATAGTTGTTAGCTGTGGTGAAGCAAATTGTGCTGGGCTGACAACAGATAAAAGGAACTCCTTCATCAACAAAGCTTGTTTTTCCTTTTTTTCTTTTTTTTTTTTACAGTGTGTGCACCGCGACCTTGCAGCCAGGAATGTTCTTCTTTCTCAGGGCAAAATTGTTAAAATCTGTGACTTTGGACTGGCCAGAGACATCATGCATGATAACAACTATGTCTCCAAAGGAAGCGTGAGTTTCTGCTCAGACATTCATTTATCCTTAAAAACATGATGTGGCTTTAAAAATGCTTTTTCTCAAGGTTTTTACAAATATAGTCAAAATATCCACCTGTCTTTCCCAATAGACATTTTTGCCAGTAAAGTGGATGGCACCAGAAAGCATTTTCGACAACCTCTACACGACTCTCAGTGATGTTTGGTCTTATGGTATCCTCCTCTGGGAAATTTTTTCCTTAGGTAAGCCTTTGTCCACTTCAATGAAAAGCCTCTTCAGCCCCAAGAGCTTTTTTTGAAGTTTGTACTTGAAATAACAAGCTGAAATGTAACTGTCTCGACATTTACAAACTCTACGTCAAAGCACTATGGGGTGCCGTTTGTAAAGTTATACAGTCAAAAATTACCACCAATGTTTATGTTTTATTTAGTCTTTTATAAGAAAAAAGAAGTGATTTATTTTTCAAAGTCAGTTTTTCACCATATAATTCATACATTTATAAATGTCATAGTTTATAAAATAAATATTTAACTTAAAAAATAAATATTTAGTTAACAAGCTAAATATTTAACTTGTGACTTAAATATTTAGCTTACTTGCCACTTGCCAGCTTAGGTAAAGTCAGTATTTGTTAAATATTTAGGTGGCTAGCTAAATATTTAACTTGCTAGCTAAATATTTAAATTTCAAGCTAAATATTTAGCTCAAAACTAAATATTTAAGTCACAACTTAAATATTTAGCTTGCAACTTAAACAATTAGGTTGCAACTTAAATATTTAACTTAAATATTTAACTTACTAGCTAAATATTTAAGTTGCAACCTAAATATTTAACTTACTAGCTAAATCTTTAAGTTGCAACCTAAATATTTAACTTACTAGCTAAA